GGTATTTAATTTACTGGTTTGCTTGAAAACCCAGCAATTTCGATTGGTGTGGTTGGCAGGCTTGTCAGGGATGTCATGAATCTGGCAAGGTCTCTCTAATATTATGTCCAAGTTGGATGGACTGTCTTGATTGCCCTGGAAAGGCTTCTTCCGCTGAGCGGGTTTGGAACCACTGAATCTGGCATTTACTGTCGTATCATCTATTTCTTCATTATTGTTCTGACGCTTGTTTTTGTGGCATCGTGGTCTACCATTGCCATCCCTGGCCTCAGAAGTGCCGGGGTCGCTGGAAGTGTTGCTTCTACGAGCCAACCAGCTATCTTTTCCCACACAAAAGCGGGTCATAAGTGTAGTAAGAGCTGCCATGGTCTTTGGTTTTTCCTGCCCGAGGTGTCGGGCGAGCCATTCATCACGGGCGCTGTGTTTGAATGCCGCTAAGGCTTCGGCGTCTGGACAGTCCATGATTTGGTTCTTTTTAATTAGGAACCAATTCCAAAGTTTGCGAGCTGACTCTCCGGGTTGCTGGACTATGTGACTTAGGTCATCAGCATCCGGTGGTCGGACATAAGTGCCCTCAAAGTTGGCCCGAAAAGCGCCTTCTAAGTCTTCCTAACTTCCAATGGAGTTCTCTAGGAGGCTATTCAATCAGCGATGTGTTGGTCCTTTTAGATTTAGGGGGAGGTATTTAATGGCGTGGAGGTCATCTCCGCGAGCCATGTGTATGTGGAGAAGAAAATCTTCAATCCATATGGCAGGATCCGTTGTTCCATCGTACTTCTCGATGTTCACGGGTTTAAACCCTTCCAAAAATTGGTGCAGCATTACTTCATCGATAAAGCACATAGGGTGAGCGGCACCTCTATACCGGGCAACATCGCGACGGAGTTTGGATGACATCTGCGTTTGGTGCTGACCCCGAACTTGATTATATTCATCGTGCCGGGCCTGATGGCCGTCATCTCGTGTTGGAACATGTCCTCTTAATCCATAGATTGATCGAGTCTGGCCGGCTTCATTGGCCAAGTACTGACGTAAGTCGTATGTGTAGTCCGGAGCCGCTCTCTCCTTGCCTCTACGGTGGGGGGGGGGCACGTGTCGGTGTTCGGCATGATGGGTTGTTTTGCCCCGTCCACGTGGTGGTCGGTCCGGTTGATCAGCATGATCGTACTTTGACGGTATTGGCTCAAGGGCCTCGTCGTCGAATTGTGGCAGCAGTCTGTGTTTGGGGTAACTCTTTGTTGGTCGCTCGAAGCCGCATTCTTCGACAGCTAGGACCTTGGTCCATCTGTCGTTGAGCGTATCCTGTTCGGCTTGAAGCTGTTGCTATTTCTTTTTTAGGCTCCGCACGGTGGCAATGAGCTATCGCTTGAAGCATTCTTGTTCGAGGGGTTCCTCTGGGACGATAAAATCATCATCACCAAGGCTAACATCCTCTTTGGAGACAGGTAAGTAGTTACTATCTTCCGAATCCTCGTGATCGGCGTGCTCGAGGTTGTATTGACCCTCTTCCGTTTCATCCTGCTCGAACGCAGGTTCGACGGGGTGGTTGTGGTCTTCGGCATTGTCCGGAGTGTCATTACCTCTGGTGCGAAAGTGAGTGGCGCCGCTAACGCTCGCGCTTTCGTGGTTCATCGACGGGCTTGTCCTTGTCTAGATCTTGAGTGACATCATCGTCCTTTTTCTCAGGTGTATTCACCATGTATACGTCGTAGGTAGAAGTGGCCGTCCAACGCCCGGTGATAGGCGGGTTTTGACCTGGTTCGGCATCGACATCATCGTTCATGCCGTCGATGTCTTCGGAGGCGTAGTCTAGCATGTCGGTTAAATCCTCGATAGTGGCTATTAAGTGGGTGGTGGGTGGAACATAAAATTCCCTGCTCTCAGTCCCTAGCCCAAGATGGGTGTAGTTCGGAGGTAACGCTTCTGTGATGGCGAGAGATCGTATTAAGTCCAATGTTTCGTTTAAGAGCGAAAGCTGGATAGGAGGATGCGGATCTGCAGTACCAGGCTCGGCGATGACCACTTGATTGAGCCCGATGGATGTAAACATCGATAGTTCGGAGTTGACATCCAGAGGCGAGTCCGGCTTTTCGATGATGGGAAGAGTCCCGTTTGACTTCGGGTTCGCAGGCGACGTGGTCGCATCTGGGTATCCGGCAGGAAGCTCCGCGATAGGAAAGAGTCCGGCGGGCTTCATCCTCCCGTCTTCAGATGATGTGGTTTGCCCCGGATCTAAGGCTGAGGTTGATACGAGTGTCGACCCCTGGACGGGATCTGACAGTAGATCCGAAGGGCCTCCTTCGTATGGGTGGGGAGCGGCGGCCGAGGCCGTGAACCCCTCGAAGATCATGTCTCCTCGGATATCGGCAGTGTAATTCAAGATTCCAAACCTGATCTGGTGACCAGGGGCGTAGTTGTCGACCTTCTCGAGGTGGACAGTCGAGTTGGCAAGTAGCACGAAGCCGCCGAACACAAAGAGTTGACTGGGGAGAAAGGTCTCCCCGGAAACAGCATCGTCATTGATGACGAGGCGAGCCATCGATTCCTCTATTGACAACACAGCGGAGCTCTCAATGAAAGCACCAATGTCGGTGTCAAAACCGGCAGATCTTGGGTAGGGGGGGCAAGTTGTGTGTCTAACTATCAATGGTAACAAAGGACAATGGGATACAATGTTTACCCAGGTTCGGGCCCTCTTAAAGGAGGTAAAACCCTACGTCCTGCTTGATTGTATTTGATGATTATAGGGGTTACAAGAGTTGATCTACCTCGAGATCGTAATGGCTAAACCCTAGTTGTCTAGCCTATGATTATTCTGATAGCCTCTATGGACTAAACCCTCCGGTTTATATACACCGGAGGGGCCTAGGATTGTACAGAATCGGTTTACAAAAGATGGAAACAGTATATCCGGACACCAAACTTGCCGCCCACGCACACATGAGTCCTACCCGGACACGGGGGGATAGTCTTCTGCCTTATCTTCACGGCCCATCAGTCCGGCCCATATTGAATAGGCCGGACACCTGAGGACCCCCGAATTCAGGACTCCCTCAATGGTGTCAGAGATGTTTCCGGTAGATCCCTCGGTAGGATATCCCAGTGTGGTGATTAGGTTAGAGGAGAAAGAAGAAGCGGATTACCAAGGTTCAGGCCCTCATGATGGAGGTAAACCCTACTCCTACTTTGTGTATATTTCGACCTGGATGTACAAAGTACATGTAATACCGAAGGATTGTAATGTCTAAGATATTTTGTCAACTAGCCCAAACCTGGTTTATATAAGATATTGAGGGCCCTAGAGTTAGAAGAGCCATAGTTGACAAAGTCGATGGAGAGGAGTCCTCCATGGATCCGACTTCTTTCTCTTGAATGAAAAGGCTTCAAATTCTTTCTCCTAGAGGGCCAGTGGGCTGGCAAGATGGCCCAAGCGGAACCGGCCTAGCGGGCCTCGGGCCGTCCTACTTGGACTGGTAATCGACAAGGTGAGGCACCCCTGGGTCATAACACCATCAATTGACTAGTGATACAACAGCCCCTGGTCGCATCGTAGCTCGTATCCCCATAGACCATGCATGACCAAGTTATCAGAAGGATTGACAAGCACTCATACTCATACGAGTGTGTCTGCAAACTTGTCCAGTCATACCACAAAACAGAAGTCGGACACAAGCCATAGATTTAACAAAACCGAAGACGAGCAGTCGTATGAGCGCGTTCAATCATACCACAAATCAAACCAGAATCACAGTTCATGACGGTTCACAAAGTGTTTCATTTGAACATGTCTACATCATGCATCAAATATACCAGTTGGTATATGCGGAAATATTGAAAAGTCTTCAGCTCCTTTAATAAACTTTTAGCTAGAATGAAACATCTAAATTGTTTTTCCTAGCTTGTTTTTCTAAAGCGGAAAATATCTAAACAATCATCCACCGAACTTCAAAAATACCACATGCCTGTTTTCCCCAATAAATTTAAAATTTCAATGGGGACGCGGAATGGAGAAAAGTTAACCCGCCACTGGGCCATAAAAAATTAACTGATGAATATACGGAATACCCATTCTGCATTTAACCTATTTTTTTCCTATTCATCAGTTTTACTGAAATTCTTTTTTATTATTGTTCCCACCATGCAACATTAACTTGCTTATTTATCCAGGAAATCTTGTGCACTCCGGTGAAGAACATTTTTGTACTGGACCATTTTAAGGGGCCTGACTGATCCTAGTATCTAAATTTCTCAATATCTGTTTCTGCTTTAGCTGATTACAAAATGAGCACCTCACCTGGCTAGTTATTATACTTTGCATCTAGTAGCAGCCAAAACGTTGTCAGGTCAAAACTTCAGCCAAAACTTCAGTTCGCATGTTTTCGGCTCAGCTCCAACTCTAAGAATTCTTTTGGCTCATGAACATGAACTAGTTATTATATTTTGGCAACATGTAACCAGCTCAACTACAGAGAGAAAGATCAAGGTTACATTTCTTCAAAATGTTTCGGCATGGTCAAGCTCTAAATTTGAAATGTTTGACCGCAGGACTTCTGAAGCTCAATTTATAAGCTGCCACGCAGGGAGAGGTGCAGGATGATTTATAAGCTCTTCTTAGATTCAGTTTCCCGCAGCTTGATAGGAATAAGCTTGAAGTGAACTTCACAAGGAAGTAAAGATAAATCACTGAAAATTACAGATCAACGGAAATTTTCAGATGACACAAGAGAGAATTTACAAGTAAAGCGTCCTTCAGACGTATAGGCAGGGAGCAAGCATTCGCAAGATCAATTGCAGCCATAGGTAGAACAAGAGATTGGAATGACTGCAGCCATAGATAGAACAACAGACTGAAATGATTGGATCTCATCTTAGTCCATGACTAGCAGGTACAATGTCACCCATGCTCGACGAAATCACAGACTAGCAGGCATTACATACAGGGTCTCATCTTAGTCCATGAGAAATGGATCTAAGCAACACTGGCTAGGCTATGGGGGCGGTTACTCCTTGGTGGCGGCGGTCTTCTTCTTGGGGGACTTGGTGGACGTCTTCTTCTTGGGCGACTTGGCCTCCTTCTCGGCGGCGGCGGGGGACTTCTTGGGGAGCAGCACGGAGTTGATGTTGGGGATCACGCCGCCATGGGCGATGGTGACGCCGGCGAGCAGCCTGCCGAGCTCCTGGTCGTTGCGGACGGCGAGCAGCAGGTGGCGCGGGATGATGCGGGTCTTCTTGTTGTCCTTGGCCGCGTTGCCGGCGAGCTCCAGGACCTGGGATTCAAAAACGAAATCTGTCAGTTATCCGTCGAGCACGGAAAGAACAGGAGTGCACAAGAAAGGACGGCAAACATCGGCGCGTACCTCGGCGGCGAGGTACTCGAGGACGGCGGCGAGGTAGACGGGGGCGCCGGAGCCGACGCGCTGGGCGTAGCGGCCCTTCTTGAGGTAGCGCCCGATGCGGCCGACGGGGAACTGGAGCCCGGCCTTCACGGAGCGGGTCACCGCCTTCTTCCTGTCGCCGCCCTTCCTTCCGGCCATCCTGCGTGCTACTTCTCCGGCGGCGAGGACTCTCGAGGAGTGGTGTTGGCGGCGGTTGCGCTGGATGGGAATGCTCTGAGTTTGTGGGTTGGAACGCAGGCGTGGGCGCGGCTTTTATTGGGAAGCAGAGGAGGGAGCGATCCGTGTGACATGCTGCGCTCGCCGTTGGATCTTGGCGTAGTGGACGGTGGAGATTAGTAGGGGGGCCGCGATCCGTGGGATGGCCCTACTGACGAATCAGAGCGCAGAGCTTTTGTTTTAGCGCTTGATTCACTTTCTGCGCCATAAATATGCATATTTTGTTTTCACAGAAATTCAATTTGGCTCTACTGAGCATATGCTCATGCGCACACAAAATATATTTTGCAAATGTAAAAAAAAAAAAATAGATGTGTTCATTGTCACACCAAAATGCTATTTGCAAATTTTAGGATAAAGGCTTAAACATTTTGACTTGCACAAAAGAAAAACAAGTCGAGCGACAAATGTTACCTCCGAATTTTACACTTAATTTTATTTACTTTTCATCGACAAAGCAATGCTATCACTTTCACATGAGTATAGGAGTTCATGCATATGGGAATCGCACTTCTAGTTGATCGACTTTTGAGAGATAAGATCGAAAAAAATACATAGGACAAGAAGTATTTTGTGGACGCGCTTATCTGTTACGCCTCTAACTGCAAACATAAGTATTTGTGTCATGAACTCATGATCGCAACAATTATGAGACTTCATCACGCTGAACATTTGTCCATTAACCTCACATATCTGCATATACTCGTTGAGTAGGTGGAACCATTTTGAAGACACTTGAAAACTTGACTAAGCTCCTTCTCATCTAGAGTAAAGCGAGTGTGTGGTGGGGAAGGGGGAGGGAGTTGTCATCCTTTGGAAATATTTTTGCACGTGACTGTTGTCTCTACTTATGATACGCGTGCAACTCAGCCATAATAATGAGGTCTACCAAGTCCTATCTTGTCTTCAACCCCATCTTTTTGTTCTTTTTTCGACGTGTCAAATTATGTGCCAAGCAAACTCTCACAGACATTCTTTGTGATATCAAGACAACGAGGCGTATCGAGGACTATCCAATACGACAAGCCCCAATAACCAGACTCCCTTTTTCATACTTTTAACAATTACTTCTTTAGGGCCTTTCGCTTCTATCCTGACTTAGGGCACTACTTCCATCGTTCAACATATGGTGGATTTTTTCTTCGCTCCTTGTGCGTGGCTTTAATCATTCTTAAGTTTTATCGTCAAACAGATCTTTGCGAGTTATCCACTTCATCCCTGTGAAGCCACCTTCAACGCCCCATGAATACAATTTTGCAAGAGTTGGCTTTTGATGTCTCGTCAAAAGTTGTATCATCCATACACTTAACACATTTGCAGTGTCCATGCCATACCTGGGAGAAGACATATCCATAAGCGAGATAGCGTCGCACCATCGTGATCAACGCAACTCTTATAGGGAATATTTCTCAAAAAAAAACTCTTATAGGGAAATGATCCCCTTCGTTGGCATCCCAAGTATTGACCCCTCCAGCAGCCCATGATGTGTACATCATCCTTCAATAGCCCGAGATAGAAGTTAATATTGTTGCCCGAGGTTCCCTGATTTTGTCACGAATCCTTGGTATTCACACACGAGTGCTTTCCATATGTCTTAGACGCATGCATAATTTTTGCTTGTTTCATAATATAATTATGTTATTTTTCCACAGTTTTGGCACCAGAATTTTAATATTTTTCTAAACTAACCTATTAATTCTGTCCAAGGGCAATATGTTGTTTTCTGTAATATCGGGGCTCTTAAGTAAAACAAATTTTCACAAAGCTCAAAAAAGGGGGAATTCCCAAAAATGATTCAAGTCCAGAAGCTTCTAGAGGCACCTAGCCCCGGCCGAAGAGTCCTATGGGCCCCATGATGCGAGGGGTGTTCGTGTGGGCCCCATAGGACTCCGCTCCACCACCTCTCGGCACCTCCGCCTTTACAATTGCTCGAAAAAACCAATTTTACATAGAGGTAAACAATTCACAGTCACATCTCTATGTCCCACCGTGATCCGATCTATATGCATTTTCCCATACTCTTCATGAGGGAATTCGTCACGGCAGCCATCAACATAAACCTTGCTACTACCATAATTTAACATGAGTAGTTTTTTTGGACTATGGGTACATGGCACTAGCTAGATGACAATCCGTCCTTGTTATTCAATATAATGTTTATTTTTTTAATCATATTGTTAAAAAATGTTGGAACTTAAAAAATGTTCAAATATTGAGAAAAATGTTTGTGTTCTTTTAAAAATTTTGTTTTTTTTGTTTTTTTAAATGAATGGAATTTTTAAAAATCATTATCAAATTATCAAATCTTTCAAAAATTGTTCAGCACTTAAAAAATTGTTACTGTTTTCAAAAATTGTTCACAATTTTAATAAAATGTTCTCAAAATTATAAAAATGGTTGCTACATTAGCCTGGTCGATATAGTGCATCTGTTGCTAAGATAGATTGGCTCTCTACATACAGTACACTGGTTTTCTATAGTTCATCAGTTCGCTATGATACATCAGCAAGAAAAGTCTATCGCTTTCCGGCTTGCTACAATGTAATGGTAATGAGCCGGCCCATCAACACGCGCATGGTGCGTGTTGCCTCCGGTCAAATAGGAGGTCCCATCAGGGCATCTCTAACATGAGATGCTAAGAGGGGGCGTTAGGAATTTAATCCCGGCAGATGGGCGGTTACATTGTCGAATCCGAGCGCCTCGTCTGGCATCGGTGCAAAGGAAGGCACTGAGCGCTTGCTCATTTTTTAACGTACGAGACAACTAGGCCTTTCTTTCTAATTTGTTATTCAAGAGCCCGTTATTAGCGCCAGCGTTGGAGGAGCGAGCGCTAACTTCCTCGGATTTTTTCCCCACACGATAAGCGCCTACATAAGCGCTCAGCGTTGAAAATGCCCTCAAGGACAAAGGCTCTATCTCGTTCTCTAGTGGGTTGACCCAGTAGTAAGTTTGTTCATTTATTCGTTTGGTTTGTTTGTTTCCTTTTTATGCTTTCACATCCCAAAAAGTGTTTTAATGAATCGGTTACTACGCTAGTGGTGAGGCTAGGCACATGACACGAGAAATTCAACTTGACGGTCTGGTGCTAATAGAAGTCGCTTACTCTCCTCTAGCGAAGGTGCCATATCCTTAAAGTAAAGTATCTATTAGCCCTAGTGTAGCAACCACGCGGTACGACGGGCACTCAAAGACTTAGAGAATGAGGGGCCACCCCGCCGAAGAGCGCTTATGTCATATGGGAACTCTTGGCTGGAAACAATCCTTATGGTTTTTATATCCGGTTAGAATAACAAGAAAGAATCAAAATCCAGCTTGGTTGGTGAGGTTCGGAGAGCACTTGTTGGGTTTAAGATTCATTTTTTGTTAAATGTTACGGCCTAAATGCTGAACTATTGACCCTACTTGTGTGGAACGTCTCGCAATAAGCGCTATGTAGTCCTTGTTAGCAGTAGAAGATGCTCTATATTGGGCAGTGCGATGCTTTGTCTCGCTTCTACAAGACCGACGACACCTCGGCTTCAGCATGACGAGGTGGGCCGACCAAATAGTGTTAGGTTCGTTAGTTTCATTTGTTTCATTGTTTTTTGTTTTCCTTCTTCTTTTTACCTTTTTATGATTTTGAAAACACAATAAATATATGTTCAACAATTAACTAACTTGAACTTTTTAAAATATTGCGCTAGCATTTAGAAAACGCTAACACAATATGAAACATTTGTTCGCATAATTTTAGAAAAATGTTCATACTATTCAACAAAATGGTCGTGACAATATCAAAATGTTTGTGTGTTTCAAAACAATTGTACTTACCTTTTTAAAAATTGTTTGAACAAAGGAAAATATATTTGTGTATCTTTTAAAAAATCATTTCATTCAAAAAAAATTGTGAAATTTAAAAAACTGTTCACACAGTTCAAAAATAAGTTTATGACAATTTTAAGAAATGATTATAAAATGAATAAAAATGATCACGTAGTTTTTTTTGTTTCATTGAGGAAATTCCCGTGAATTTGCACAAAGTTTTAAATGCAGTCATAAAAACATTCAAACCTATATTTAAAAAAACATTGTACGAAAATTCTTCATGTATTTAAAAAATGTTTTATACCATTCAAAAAATAGTCAACATATGTTTGAAAAATATTTAACTTGTTTTCATAACATTTACTTGAAAATTGTTGATCATGTATTTGATACACAGAAAAACAAAAAAAACTGCAAGGAAGGTTCTAAAACCCAATCTGTAGAACCACCCCAAAATGGGTTTAATGGACTGGCCCACTAAGATGTGAACACCCCTATTTGAGTACATGCTAGATCCTCAGAAACTTAGACGAGATCAAAATAGGGCAGCATATCGACTGGTTGTATATAGTCGTTCGAAACATGCCACCGAGGTGTGACTAGGTCACACACCTCCATGTATTGAGAAATTATTGCCAATTTGATTGTAACCCAATAAATATGGAATAAAACTCCCTTTTCATCACAAAAAAACAAATTATTTTAGAGGAACAATAACAGAGTATAGCCTTTGCGAATGGCGCTGTTATATTGGAGCGAGCGAGCAATCCCTATTGGGCCACTGTCCAACTGAGTGTCATAATTACAAGCAGGCGCCAATGGTGGTATAGTGTGTTCAACACGTGCGCCGCCAGCGTATGCTCTATTTTGTACTAGCCCATGTATGCAACGCGAAGGTATAGTTAACTCGTAAGCACTAAATTTGAACTAAAACTATGACAAGAAATGGAATGGAGGGAGTAGATGAGTCCATAAATCGAGAGAAAAAAACTGAGTACTAGATGCGAGCGGCCGAGGGTGAGTGAGTGTCTTTAGCCCAATTGTTTTTTGTTTTTTGTCGCTTTTATAAGTACAATGTAAAATAAATAAGTTAAAAAAATAAAAAACTGTGTGCTAATTTATTTTAAACCAGATGAACTTTTTATGTAATTTTATAAATGTATCTGATAATGTTCATGGCTTTCAAAACATATTTGTATGTTTAAAAAATGTTCATGCAGATTTAAAAAAAATCAAGTTTATTGATTAATGGTCATGTATTTATTTCTATTGTTAAAGTAAACTGATAAATGTTTCATGTATTTTATATAGTATCATTTAAAAAATGTTTGCTCCATTCTGAAATATGTTCATGAAGTTACAAGAAAATGTACACATATTTTTAAAAAGTGCTCCTGTAAATTTTAAATAAATTTACACATTTAAAATATCCAAATAGACTTAAAAAGTCTTCTTGTGATTTATGTTTAGTTCTTTTAAGTGCTAATGTAATTCTAAAAAGAGTTTGCATGTTTAAAATAATTGTTCTTAATTTCTATAAGTGTTCACAAAATTGAATAAATGTTCTTATAATTCTTATAAGTTATTCATGTAGTTATTAAAAGTGTTATCATGTTGAAAATATATTTATGTTTTAAAAGTGACGGGCCATTTGAAAAGTTTTCTCATAAAGTATTCACCTATTTTACAAAACATCTATGTGCCATTTTAGGAATGGATCACGTTTTATTTAAAAAATTATGTATTTTTATAAACATTTTAATATTTATAAAAGTACTAAAATTCCAAGACAAAACAAAAACAAATAAGAGAAAGTTGACGAAAAAGTAAAAAAAGAAAACTTCATAAGACAACAAATGGGGAAAATAAATAGAGACAACAGAGGAAAAATAAAAAATGAAGCAATAAAATGGAATTCGGCAAAAGAAAATTATAACGAACAGAAAAATATAGTGGAAAACCCATATAAATCCACGAAAACAACATGAAAAACAAGAGAAGCGTACACAAAAACTATATCCTCAGCACAAGACCTTCCCTGGACTCGGTACTAGTTTCGTGTTGCAAGCGATTTAGCGGAGAATCGGTTGTAATAGAATCGATGTGTTCAATTCCAAGTATTTTTGGCTGAGATTTGTACCTGTTGTATTTCCATGGTGGTTACCAATTTTACTTTCAGAAAATAAACTATTTTTGTTGATGGAACGAAGTGAAACATCGATATATCAGTTTTCTTACATGAGCATGGTTGCTATCTTAATTTCTCAATGTTTGTTTCTGCTTTAGGTCAATCTAAAATAGTATGGCTAGTGGCTCATAAATCATAAATCAGGTTTGTGGTTTGTTATGTACACCTGACTCCACAAACTTCAGTTTGCATACGGCCGGCTCAACTCCAACAGGAAGAATTTGTTTGGCTTGGGAATACAACATGTAAATAGCTCAACTACAGAGGGAAAGATCAAGGCGAAATTAACTGCAAGAATGGCTTGGCATGGCTTTTGTGGTTCGTCAGGAAGCTGATAGAAGTATTTGAAATTGAGCACCATAATTCAGAGGCAAAGAATTGGGGAATTTTTTCAGTTGATAGAAGTGAGAATCCACTACTAGTATAAAACGGCACAGGTAGCTCAATTGGGGAACAAGATCTGAATGATTGCATGATTAACCATTCCTACAGAAATCACAGATACTACTCATCTAAATAACCAAAAGACTGCTCGTCTTGTCCATGAGAAATGGAACGAGGCAACACTGGCTAGGCTATGCTATGGGGAATTCTACTCCTTGGCGGCGACCTTCTTCTTGGGGGACTTGGTGGAGGTCTTCTTCTTGGGCGACTTGGCCTCCTTCTCGGCGGCGGCGGGGGACTTCTTGGGGAGCAGCACGGAGTTGATGTTGGGGATCACGCCGCCGTGGGCGATGGTCACGCCGGCGAGCAGCCTGCCGAGCTCCTGGTCGTTGCGGACGGCGAGCAGCAGGTGGCGCGGGATGATGCGGGTCTTCTTGTTGTCCTTGGCCGCGTTACCGGCAAGCTCCAGGACCTGCGATCCAAAACGAAATCTGTCAGTCATCTGTCGAACACAAGAAGAACAGAGCAGAACAGATGCAGAGGAAGGGAGAGATCTGCGCGTACCTCGGCGGCGAGGTACTCGAGGACGGCGGCGAGGTAGACGGGGGCGCCGGAGCCGACGCGCTGCGCGTAGCGGCCCTTCTTGAGGTAGCGCCCGATGCGGCCGACGGGGAACTGGAGCCCGGCCTTCACGGAGCGGGTCACCGCCTTCTTCCTGTCGCCGCCCTTCCTTCCGGCCATCTTCTTTCTACTTCTCCGGCGAGCTGGAAATTACTCGAGATGCGGGGGGCGGCTGGTCTGGATCGGAATGCTCTGAGCTTGTGTGTTTGGACGGCGCCGAGGGCGGGGTTTTTATTGGGAGGCGGGAGCGTCGCTGGAGTGGGGAGCGATCCGCGTGATGCGGTGCGCGAGCCGTTGGATGTGTGGGGAGCGGGCGGTGGAGATCAGTTTGGGGGCACGATCCGCGGGAGGGTCTAATCGGCCAATCAGAGAGCAGGGATTGTTTTTTGACCACTTGGTTCTCTTTCTGCATCATTTGCACTGTACAAAATCGGCCAAGCAGGGATCCACTCTTTGCTTGGTACGTGTAATGTTTCAATGACTTCACAAAACATGTCTATGGTACTATTGTATGTGGATTTTTTTTGTTGGGTGAACATGGATATAACACTTGTATGTGGATTTTTTTTTGTTAACCCTTGTTACAACCGAGCCTATTTTCATTATTCTATTCATTTGTTTGTTTTTCACTCTTATGTCACATGAGATGTTACTTTTATTTGTTGAATTGTGTTTAGTTGATTGTGTTACTTTTGTTATATTTTTAACAATGAGTGTAATTCACGTGACTTGATGAGGAAAATTGAGCGGATTGTGCACTATCCTTTGACATACTCCCCGAGTTACGTTGCCAAATCCCCGAACTCCTAGGCCACCGCTGCTCCTTGAGCCTTACGGTTCCTGAACCGCCGCCACACCATCTAGTCCGCATTCGAGCCCCACCGTCGGGTCCCGAGCTCTGTCGTCCCGGACTATGTATCCACCCGTCAACAACTCAACATACACCTAAACCGAGCTCTGTTATTTCAACCGGCTCTAGATCATCGAGCCTTCGTCGCCCATCTCCACATCTAGACGACGGGTTCCATCTCTTGTGTCATCTCCCTTCGATCTCTTATACTTGAGGTAATTTCACTTTCACATGATATATATATATGACCATGTTGTTGTCGTATGCTGATATGTGTGTGTCGTGGTGTTTCTGTCGATGATTTCCTCAATCAAGGCCACCCTCGCTAGCACCTAGGAGTGGGCATCTCCAAGGTGGACATGTACCGGACACCGAGATGGCTAGATATGATGAGCCTCCTGTCAGATCTGCGGAGTCGGCAATGGGGGGAGCCCGTCTCACGATGCAGATAGGTTAGGGACCATAAGGGCGGGGAAGGAAGGAGGAAGGGGTAATACGAGTAACACCACTTCTGTCCTTGAGGGTCGACTAGGCTTTGTCGGCCACTCCAACTCGCTATGACGATGAGCACATAAGAGGAAGGGATGGGTGGCGGCGGCAGTCCTGCTTGCCGCCCAAGTCACCTCGGAGGAGTGACGCGAGGGCACTGGAGTTATTTCAGTAACCGGTGTACTTCAAAATGTTCATCGGGTCTAAAAATATGTTCAACGTGTTAAAAGAAAGTCTCATCATGTACTAAAAATTCTCCATCGCGTCTACAATTTTTTTCCAATGTGTTGCAGTAAAGGTTGATCGTGTATGAAAAAAAAGTTATTTCATATTAAAAGAATTGTTTTATCTTAAATTTGAAAATAATTACCATAATGCCCTTCAAATAAGTATAATTCACAAAAAAATATCATGCATTAAAAATTGTGCATTGTATATTTGAAACAAGATTCAAAGTGTAACTAAAAATGCTTAGCATGGACTGCATATTTTCACTGCATAGTCAGAATATGTTCTTATAATTAAAAAGTGTTCAAACTTTTTAAAATATATATAAATTTATAAAATGATAACAATCTTTTAGTAGTTCTATTGTAGTTTTTGAAAATCTCGCACATCCAAAAAGACTTTGTTCCCATTAAAAATATAAAAATAAGAAGGAAATCTAAACAAAAATAATAAAATAAAAGACCAAAAAACAATGATTATTTGATAATTCATAATGAATATTTTTTAAATACAAGTTAAATAAATTTAATAAAGTAAAATTACTTCCAATAATCAAAAATAAATTTTTAGTGCATGAAGACATTTTTAGTAAATCATAACTTTCAAGAAAAACATGAGAATTTTTAATGAAGGATAAACATTTCTTTTACACACTGTCAACATTTTTTAAATAGCATCTGGTCATTTACAATAAACTGTAAAACATTCTTTAATGCAACAAATATATTTTAATCCCAATGAACTTTTCCAATAAATGATTCTTTAATACACAAAGGACATATTTTAAATATGTAGTTGATGTTTTCTTAGTACACAATATAAAATTTAATACATGTTGAACATTTTTAATACACATACATATTATTTAATACATGGATAAACCTATCTAGAAACATGGGGACCATTTTTAGTATGCAATTTCATAAATGCTATCAAAAAAGGGAAAAGGTAAAAAAAGAGAAAAAACGAAAAGAAAGCTAAAAAGGGGAAAGAACAAATGGAAAAAAGAAGAAGAAAAAGTTGATACAGAAAAAAATTAAGTTGAAAGAAACAGAAAAAGAACAAAGTGGGACAAGAGAGTTAAACTGAAAGAGATGTGCACATAGACTAGCCATCCCATCTCATAGAAGACAAGAGGCAAAACCAGGCAGGGAAACCCCCATACATTGCCCGAGCCACGAGCCATGTCGAGATTGCCAGAGGCAAGTACATGCTATATCTAGGAATAAGCGAGATATTCTTCACAAAAACAAACAACCAAATGGGAACCGTTGTCAATGCATAACAGAGAGCGACTTTCATGCCTCTGTATGCATTAAGGCCGCGAAAAGCTTGGTGTACTTCCGCTATGATGCTGGCTTCGCTACGTCTGATTGCCAAATGCCATCTTGTTCCCGATTGATGAAGTCCCCTCTCCGGACCAGTTCCCATCGTTGTGTTATAAGAGCATCTTCAATGGATGGACTTCGGAGACTGAGGGGGTGGGGGTTGTTGTTGCAACAACTGGGTTTGAGAAGGGTTTTTACCCATATTTGGATATACTTGTGCGGAGATATTTTTGTATATGATAGGCATGATACCCACAATTATGCAACCTCAACACCTCTTAAGAGTGTGACTTTCCTAAAGCTTAAATAAACCAAGAAAAACTTCAGAGTCCTTTAAGCGGATCTATTTACTTTCCTTTTTTTAGTTAGATGCACACAACTAAGATATATATCAAAAACAAATACATGTATACATTGATGTGTTTGGTGTACTAATAACAACCAATTGGCTTGTTGTATTTCTACGAATTCATAAGTTTTTTCCACGAACAAATGTGCATCGCTTCGGCGGCTCAGTGTTCTTATGGGGCGACCCAGGTGAGCACCACCGCACTAACACACGCAATAGACATTGTATAAAAGCATCTGGTTGAGCCTGCGAGAGCTATATCTCACTTATTGCGAGACAGATCCATGTGTCTTTGGTGAGTGGGCCGACCCATTTAAGCGGATCTCAGAACCTTCCACGGGAGGCCTGGACTAGTGTTAGGAACCTTCTGGTTGATTTTCTGTCCATTTTTTTTCTCCTTTTCTATGTTTTTCTCTACTCTTTTTTATCGGTTTTCTTTCTTCTTTTATATTTCTGCTTTTTTATTTTTTATTTTTTTCCAAATACATGTCGACTTTTGGTCAATGTACATTGAACATTTTCACTACATAGGTTGAACATTATCACATACTCATCGAATTTCTAAAATATGCATTAAATATTTATATTTTGTTTGATTTGTTCTATTTTTCTCCTTTTCATTTTTATGTATTTACTTTTAAATTTCAAATATTTGATCAATAATTTTTATCAAAGGTGATTTGACTTTTTCCTCAATATATAAAAGGTTATATACCATATCAACAATTATATTTAGATGGCTATGCATATACCAAAGAATTAATCCAATGAAGAAAATCTCTAGATAGAATGAAACTTCTAAACTATTCTCTATCCTTTTGTTTTCTAGAACGGGAATATGTAAACTACTATCTGATCTCCAAAACAAACAAAACTTTCAACGGGGAAAAAGGAAAAAAATGGAGAGAGAAGCAGAGAAATGAGAATACGATGGTGGGCTTGGACTGGGTTGGTCTGCTACGTGTTGGGTGCAGCTGCAGGTCCAATACACATAGACTGAAGGCGCAATGCCCGCAAAAATTCATACTAATCAATCTCTAGGCGTCCGCATCGAGACGATGGAGGTAAGAGGGGAGCTATTCTCTTAAGATACAGTCATATAGAAGACATGTCTAAGGTTCAGTTCGCAATTAGTGAATTTTATATTTTATAATTTGTTTTCAAAAAGTAGACATAAAAGTAAGAAAAACAGGTCAAACAAACACTAAAATATGGACAAAAAAGGGTGGGCAAATAAGAATATGAGAATACACCATGATTCAATCGCATCATGAAGTACCAAGTTCTATATTTCCGACACTACTATAAGAAAATTCACGAAATATTGAAGAAATCATGTTAGCAAATAATGTCCCCGTGTTTGCTTTTTTCTTAAATTAGTAAGATGCGAAGTTAGAAATTGATGCACATTTGGATGCTTAGCTGTATTCTGATGATATCATTTGACTTTGAGAGCATAGTTACAGTTGGTGCAAACTGTAAAAGAGAAAGGGGTAAGAAGGGTACTTATTAGTTTGTAACAATATGTGTGAAACCTCTGACTATTCACCGTTTTATTGAGTTTATTACCTGTTATTTTCTCCATGGTGGTAACTTTGTTTTCTGAAAATGTTTTTTTATTGATACATGAAGCGCAGCAATATTTGCCCTCCTGTGACAAACCTTCAGCTACAGGAGTATCTTAATTTCTCAGTAAGTACCTGTTTCGCAGCCTAAAACTAATGCTGGTATCTCATTTGCCTAATTGCACATTAATCAGAGCCGTCAATTTTATTAGGCACATCTGACTACCCAAAGTTCAATTCAGTTGCCATGATTGACATTTGCCTTGCCATGTTTATCTGAAAGCAACTTAGGAGTATCTAATTTACTACTG